TACAGAATTCATGCAATCATTTAAAGTTGTTGCCTTTTGCTTCTTTTCTGCCAAACTGCCTACACATTCAGGGTGCATGGGGTGTTCAAGGATGATTAGCATGTCTGGTATGAGAGCTTGCCAAGCCTTTTTCAGGGTTTTCATCCACCTTTGGCCAGTTCCAATTGGGCAATGCAGCTATTTCCTTCTCCTCCCTCTCTTCCCCCTCTCCTTCTTTTTCTTCTCCCTGTGCCTATGTGGGGAGTCACAACCTTACATGTGGGTACTCTGTCCAGAGGAATATAAATTTTGGTCACTTACATTTTGCAAGGTATTGGGGGCTAGTTTTTCTTCTCTACTTATTCTATTTTTTTTAACTGGGACAAACTTTTGTCGCATGTAGTTCTTCATTTATTATTTCTTGAAATTTAGCTCTGGAAAATCAGGCTTTGATAAAGCCCTTTGGGATTTAAATGGAGCAACTTGACCATGCCTTAAACTGATTTCACTGATTGACCACCAACAGGTCCCAGCCTACACCTCATTTGCTCATTGTTTGGGTTTTGATGGTTCAGAGTGAATATACATAGCAATTATTTTTGTTCTGGCCAGAAACTCTGAGGGTCTTCCCCTCCCAGTGAAGGCAAACTAGGTATCTTTTGCCTTAATTTTTACCTAGCCCTTAAATACTGAATGGGCATTATCTCAGGCAAACTGAGACCTAGGAAAGACCTTAGCTGAAAAAGGTCAAGGTCTCCAACTGTATCCAGGGCCAACGACAGTCAACCTGACCTATTTCTTGTCACTGAACTCCAATGACTCTGGAGGACAGAGTGAGGCTAACGACTTTGCATAGCTCTGTCTCACTTGCAAGTCAAGACTTCATTGGTCCTTTTCAAGAATGAAGAATAAGCAACAATAAAGCTGGTAATCAACTCTCACCTGTGGTTCCAAGAAGCCACATCTATTCACCTGCCAGTACTATGACAAAAAGCCCATCATTTTGGGAAGACTTTAATATATTAAAGACATAAAATAATGTGACAAAGGAAAAAAAAAAGAACAGGGACTCTGCTGAGGAGGGAGAGGCTGGAAGAAGGGGGAGGCCTTTGAGTATATGAAAACAGTGAGCAGAATTCCCTGCATGCCCTAGTTTGGGACAGACTACTTTCTGCAAAATTTACAGCAAAAAATAAAATAAAATAAAGAACAAGAAGGCATCTGAAAACGAGGGAAATTTTACCATAAATTCTCTCCTCATTTCTGCATTGACATGCCAGCTCCTGGTATCCATGGTTTTTCCCATTTATGGTAACATCCAGGAAGTAGTATTTCCTGAGACAGGTCCATTCCAGTGACATTATCTCTTAAACAACCCTCCCTACGTTTAGACATTTATTCACTTAGATGGACACTTCAGAATTTTAACCACAAACGCCTGGCTGAAGTTTGAGGAAAAATTGCAAAATATGTGGCCCATGTATCCATTTGTTTCAATAATGGGAGTCTTTGTAATAATAATAGCAACTCCCATTTCTATAATGATTTAACATTAACAAAACACTTTTCCTAAGACAAGCTATAGGGGAGATCATAGTACACGTATTTTTCTCGTCAGAAGGAAACTGAGGCTTGGAGAGATGAAGAAACTCCCATGGTCACACAACAAATGTCAGAGCTCAGGCTCAAACTTATGCCTTCAGACTCCAAGATCACTAAAACAAACAACACTCTTTCCCCGAGACCTATCGCCACTACCATCAAGATCAGATATGGCTTTTTACATCTGTCAGGGCCCCCACTCCCAGACTACTCCTTTTTTCACTCCTCTTTGCTTATTATTAGGAGACACCTTGTTTTCCAAGGCTAAGGCCCAGCAAGCAAGCTGTGCCCGAGCTTGGCGTAACAATAGTCCTTTGCCCTCATCCTTTGGATGTGCTCTGTTGCAGCTAAATTACAGAACAGGCTCAAACCAGCCCCAGGTGGTCCCCGAGCTTGGGCAAGCCCCTACAGGAATCACATCCTGGTCATGAAGTCCTGCTGTGAATAGACTTCTTTGTCCCTAGGCAAAGCACTATTATGTTAATAACTAATTATTAATCATGTTCCACATTTTTTTTTCTATTTTCTGTAAAGGCCCAACTACTGTTAAGGTTAGTCTCTGAAGGACATGCTGATTGATGACATTGCTCCAAGCCCTCAAGGAACATGCTCAGCGATGCTGAGTTAGGGTATAAACAGAATCCAGGCTGGATGAGCCCTTACCCTAGGGAAAGGAATTCCTGTCCTTGATCTCTTCCATTAGTGTTTAGGATTACCCAGCTCATGAAGGAGAAAACCAGCCAGAGGTCCAGATGGAAGTGACTTCCCCTGCCCAGCATGTTGGAGGCAGGAATGTCATGCTCAGGCCACATTCTTAGCCCATCTGCTCATTAAATGTCCACCAATCAAGGTTGAGTTTCACTTGTCAGGGGAATTCCCTTTCAGAAATGATTTAAGGTGTTTCAGGGTCTCCCTTAGCATCTTTGGTTAGTGAGAAAAACCACTGACCATCAATTTATTGGTTGTAGGCTAACTTATTTAATAAATTGATTATTGATTACCAGAAACTGTCAGCATAATGTGCAGGGGCACATCCCAGTAAACTGTGTTAGGAAATGGGCTAAACCAAGTGAGGATAACCGTTACATCTCAAACCTATAGGTGAGTTAGGGGAGTGTCTACCCCAAAGCATGTGAAGACTTCTGGTGGAATGGGTGGATGAGAACAATTTGTTCCAATGGCCATGAAGGTGGCTCAAGAAGCTGGGGAGCACTTAGAGCCTGGCCAATCACTGAAGATATCAAGGTCATACACATTGCATTCCAGGCCACAGCCAGTCATCTTGACTTTTATTTTGCCACTGGATGACTCTGGAAGAGAGTGAAGCTGACAGCTTTATGCAACACTGCCTCACTTAAATCCAATTCAATTACAAGTCAAGCCATCATCCTGTGATGTCATTTGTCCTATAATTTTTACATTCTGAACCAGCAATTCTCTCAAAGCCTTCTTTGGAGAGATCATCAGTCATGTCTTTCAAGTTCCGGACCCTAATGTTTCTTCTGCATTTTCATTCTGCATTAAAAGTGTATGACTTGTGACCTAAATGCATTCCAGGTCTAGGAATTTTATTTTTTACCCTCTCTTCATGTTGACAATACTGCTACCAAGGTGGTAAATCAAAACTGACAGAGCATACTGCAAGAAGTTAGTCAGCTTCACAAAGTGACAGAGTATAAGAAAGACAAGGATTCTCTTTATGCTCAGAGGGAAAGGCCCTATAACTGGAAGCAGAGAGGCTGTGGTGGTCAAACACATACAATTTTTTTTTTAAAAGGCTAAGACCACAAAGATTGTGTGGCAATTGAATGTGTCAACTCCAACTGCAGAGGTAAGAGAATGTTGCCCATTACCAGTAAACATTTTGAACTATGAGGAGACAAAAGTCCGAGTGATCCAGTTCTAAGCTTCATCTTTTTGTTTTGCTTTCATAATAAAGACATTTAAAATGTTGGACATACACTATTTACATAGTTTGGCTTCATATTAAATGTTTTGGGAAGAAAAAGGCTTAAGTCAACCAAGCCATACTATGTGAAACTTTTCCCATATAGAAAAAGTTAATCAGTGCTTGGAGATGTGGCTGAGTATGCAACTTTTTTTTAAGGCAATCACACACCTAGAATGTGTCACGTGTTTGGTCTGAGGCCGGATTTGAACTCAGGTCCTCCTGATTCCAAGGCTGTTGTTCTATCCACTGTGCCACCTAGCTGCCCCCGAGTATGCAACTTTGAACATTAGATTTGAATTTGGCTCATACAAATGTGTGCTAATATATCCTAAAACTCAGTTATTGACTGCCTATATGCTCAGGCAACCTGGGGATGATGGGGAAATAGGGACATAAAATAGTCAAGATACATATAGTTTATAGCTTAGTTCCATTGGAGTCTAGCATACCTGTAGTGAATTCATCAATTTCAGGGTTGCCCAATTTCATGCTATCTTAATGTAGTGGCTACTTCTCACAGGTACTCAGGTCAAGTGGAGAACTAGTTAATAGTAACCTAAATACTTTGTAGTAGGTCATTAAAGGGATGGTTTGCTAATTGAGAATTGCTGACGGGTTAATTATGTGATTAGGGGTGGGAGTGGCAACTCTTTAAAAAGATAACTTGTAATAGAGAAGACTTGGAAAGTTACTGATCTTATACTAAAACTTCATTCTATAATTGTTATTTTATTGTCATTAATACTAGCCTATGAGCTCTATGAAGGCACAATGATGTCTTTCTTAAACTTTGTATCTTTCCCCAGTCACTAGCACATTGCTGTTTAGATAGGAGGTACTTAATAAGTGTTTGAATTAGCTAATATTGTTAGCCATTTAGGAAGGTTTTTGCATACAGAATTCTCTTTTTGACCAGGGAGTTCTAATTTTTTTTTCAAAATATATTTGCTCATAGTCTTCTGGCTTTTCTTTAGGTTTTACTTGCTTTTAATTATATCTTTATGAGCTTCTTTGTTTGCCTGCTTATGAGCTAGGTTATTATGCTTGCACAGGTGTCTAAAACTGAGTATCTTCAGTCTCCTTGTTTGCAAGGCGGGCTGTGTGGGACCTTAATCAGGGTCCATGTCCAGAGTAAAATACAAGGAAAGAAAATTAACCCCAGCTGTGTTTCCAGTATGTGATAGGACCAACATCTCTCAATATTCCCTCACGAAATGGGTTAGACTAAATTTTTTCCCCCCTAACAAGTAATAAAGCTGTCCCCAGACTTGACTGGCCTGTGGGGTCAAGGCTCAAGCTGTACCTCCTTTCAAACAGTTTCTTGGTGGTCTGTAGCCATACTGACAAGCCTTCCTGTCATCTAAGGACATAAAAAAGATCACCTATAGGGAGGGTCAGCGCTGTTCAGATTTGGTAGAGGAACCAATGAAGCAATGAATTATCATTAGATTAAAAGACAAAATTTTAGTTAGAAATTTAAAAAAACTTATTTATTCATAAATAAAATTCAACAATGATTTACTGTATGAAGATATAGCTACAAAATATGCAGGACTATAAAACAGCTCTTTTTTCCTTCCCTTCACAGCCATTTTAATCAGAATTTTAAAGCAACTTCAAGTGGTTGATGTCAAAAGGAAAAAGCATCACCACTTGAAAACTAGGGCATCAGTATCAGAATAGCTTGTTGGAAATTCTGGTATACACATCAATGAATAAGATTAAATGTTACTGAATTCTGTTATTTTCAAGGAAAATCACCAATTCAGTCTGTATTTTTAAGTTTTACAAAATGTGATATAAATATTTTTTCTTATTTCAAAATCTCTCCTCCTCCTTATTGTGGTAGAATATCACAATAACCCAGGACACAAACATAAATATAAACACTAAACTGGTATATTCAATTTGGCAAAACAAAAAAAAATGCTCCAAATAACAAATCTAAAAAGAGTATAAGAAAAAATATATTTTTAAAAACTTCAGGCTTAACTATATTTAGTGTTTTACAGATAAGGCTGTTATTTCAAACTGATTCTATTCCATGGCATCTTTCACAAATATTTCAGCAAGACATTAAAAGCTAATAATCAATTAATAACATGAAAAATATAGGAACCTGTTTTGCATTACTTCTAAGTCCTTTTGGTAGGAAAAATCTAAGTAATCTAAATATTTATACTCACACAAGTACCAGTGTAGATGATACACACAGACTGTATTGAAAAATTAAAATGGCTGAATTTAGTGGAAAACAGAATGGCAGATTATTTTCAGAACAATTTAGTTCTTTACTATATTTCCTCTTACCTCCCAAGTCAATTTTCCACTAATGGTTACATTTAACTTTTGTTCCACACAAATTACTCTTACAAGCACCAATTAATGTTACATGCAAAATTATAGCATTCATTATGTTACGGTACATTTAGGAACAAAGTCTATATTATGTTTCTGAAATATGAAAGAGTGCTATGCATTGCTTCCCTAACTGTAAAGTCTAAAGACAAAATTACTTATTTTTTAGACAAAAATACAGCTAAAACTACTGCTATCCCTTTATATGGTTCCATTCAACCAAAAATGTATAAAAACTAGTTTTAAAGAAAAACATTCAATTAATATTAAAGCTCACGTTTCCAACTCTGAAATACATAACATATAATTTTTCCATTGCTTATTTTGATAAGAATGTACAGCCTTTACGTTAATTTTTTTAATGTAAGAAAATGAGTACTCAATACCTAAATTCTCACGTTAACAAAGTATACATTAAAACATTTTTGTGATCTTCCTATAAATCCATTTCTGAATAAGGTAGACAACTTGAAAAGTTATAAGGAGCTGCAAAAATAAAGATAATTTATTTGTAACTATCAATTTGTCCCTTGCTGTGGAAATGCTGACATTAACAAAAGTTTCTTAAAAGCTCATTAGAAAATAATGAAAGCAACTAACATTTCTGTTGTTTTATGCAAGAAAATTTACTCAGGTCACATGAATGGAAGCATAGTTTATTTCTTACTCAACAAAATAAACACTTTCATGTCCAAATGGTATTTAAGATCCTATATTAAAGAAAAAAGAACAGAAAAAAACATTAACTGCCATGTAAATATTTCAGATTCAAAACTTTATTTGGAGATCTTGTGTCCCTTGAATGGATAAGAACATTAATTTAAAAACATAAGACAAAACATCCTCAAAATTAGAAATTTTACTTTAATATTAACCCATACTTAAGATTGTATTTAGATTTTTAAAAAACTGTAACTGATTTTTAAAAATACTTAAAAATGTTCAAAAACCAAGCATAATAATAACTTGTGATATATAATCCTACAGTCCAAAAAGATACTTCATTAATGCACTTTTCCAGATGAAATTAATCTGATTAATAATTATGCAGGCAATAATAATTTCTGGAAAGTATCTTCTTTTTGACAACAAAAGTATGTAATCTTTTCCAAGTGTTCAAGATTTGAGTTACATTATAGAAGAAACACTAATAAACACCAAAGCCTCTAGAATTAAAAAAAAAGATACTACTATTTCCCAATTTTATCTTTCTGATGCATAGATTTCCTCTCTCATGTAAAAGTAAAGATAGCAATAGTTAGCTTTCCTAAGTTTAAAAAAAATCAGTAAGGATAAAACAGGATACAATTATGAATATTGTTTTAGATTTTTAAAATGACTTAGAATAGCTCTTCATATGGGAATAAAAGACAAAATTTCATATAAGATTAAGAAGTGTACAAATTCACTTACTTTTTCACAAAAAGGTGTTTCCATGTATTATAATAAAAGAAATTTCAATACTAACATTTTCTCTCCATTGGTCTGGAATATGAGTAAATATAGTTAAGAAAGGTGTAGTGCTCTACTAGAGCAATAGCAAATCCTTTTCTAGTCAAAGGAGTTTCTTCCCCCTACCTGCCAAAAAGAATACGCTTTTTAAAACTCTGAAATTTAACTCATATTATCTTTACAAGGATTAATTCAATACTTTCATATTATTCCACTCTACTCTGACAAAAATTAACTTTGGACCTTTGCCTTCATTTTTAACAATTTTTTTTACATCTTTCCACTATTATTACTACCTTTTGAAAAGGATAACCCCCAAAGCAAAGAATTTTAACACAAATCACAAAAAATAAGTGGACAGAAAATACATATGTATATATATTATATATGCCATTCTAGAAAAATGTAGTCTGGTGCTTTTCCCTCAGCTTTGAATTATAGCATATATAATGTTATTTTAAAATATAGAGTCTACCTACTTCATGTTATTTGATAGCTATGTGCATATTCCAACTTTTTGTTCAAAAGTACAATTAGTATTATAATGAAAAATTAGTGCCATGTGTATGATGTTCCTTTTTATCTTAACTATCTGTTTCAGTGTTTCAAGTTCTAATACATTCCATCTTAAAAAAAAACAAATAGTATCAACTATGAGAAACACAAAACTTTGAAAATCCATTCAAATGTTCTTTGTATTTGAATGCTATAGTTTACATTACAACATAGTGGAATACTGTTTTATTACAATTACTGAAGCTATTGTAAACTGTTAAATCCTCTTATTAAGCAGTACATTTTAATTTCCCAAGCCTTCTTTAGCATTTAACCACTGTTAATAACAGTACTTAACGACTGGTAGTTTCTCAGCTTCATATCAACTCAAGTATTACTATTACTATGTTGACTTTGCTTCATTAAAATTTTGCACAAGAATAATATAATAATAATAAAAAAAATTCCACATGACCATAAGATATAAAAACCTTTCTATTAAATGTTAGGGTAACTCGTGAAAATTGAGATTTATACTTACTGCTAAAGGATACTAAAACCTAAATCAATACAACAAAATACTAAATCCACTTCTTCCCTATAAACTTAACTTCAAGAACATGACAAATATTTAAGAATGTGACAAGTATTTAATGGAGCTTCAACAGAATATATGAGTGTTCAATATAATTGAAACAAGAAGTCAGTTATAGTATTCTGCTAATTTTAACTCACTGTTAGCAGCCAAGATTTGAAAATTATAGTGACTTCATGGAATGAAGAACTATACATACAATAAAGATAATATAAAAATTCCAAAGTTAATAAATTTATTCTGCTATTAGATCCCAGACCACAAAACTTTGTTTTTCAGAAGCCTATTTAGAATTCTATCTTCTAACAGCAGTTAAATTCATCTTAAAACCCAAGAAGTTCCAACCTTTATTTTTTGCCATTTTTGTCTCTTACCACTTGTTTGAATCTTTAAGTTGAATTTCTTAAGTATTCTGGAAATAATTTCCAATTTCTTAACAGATGAGTCTCTTAATTGTTAATTGTGTGTTTGTTCATGACTCCAAAGACTAAATGCAGTCTTAAATGTCCTATGACAAAGCTTACACATATATTGCCTTTTAAATGTGATTGCTGAAAGGGGTGGGGCATGATAAAAGAGTGTGTCTGATTCTTGGGGAACAAACAGTTTCTCAGTAGTAGATGTACTCTCAGACAAACCAGTAGGGCTGTCAGGTTCTAAAGGCTGAATTTTGGGCAGTGCTGGAGGCAGAGGTGGTGGTGATGGGGAGTGAGCTGGGGGGCATGACTCAGGATCTTTACGTACAGATTCTTCCGTAGTCTGGGACATATGGGACTGGAAATGGCTCCAGAGACGAAAGTTAGTACGAAAAGCTTTGTTGCATACGTGACAAATAAATGGTTTCACAGAGCACAAAAGCTCCTGGTGACGCTCTAACTGTTTATGTACAGTAAACATTTTCCCACACTTTTCACAGGGCCATACACCAGAGTCTTTATTACATACTCCATCTTTTGAAGCTAAATTAGTTCCAGATGCATCATCCTGAGTATCTTCTACAGGCTCTTCCTTGATCTGAATTTTAAGTTGTTTAGAAACACTCAGGTCTTCAGGGAGACATGAAGAGTCTTCTGAATCAAAATTAATTTGTTCTGAAGAATCACTGAATACTCCATCTTCTTTTGTGGTAATAAAATGGTTTACTTTATTTAGCTCAGACTGGGGCTGCAGTTTTGAAGTACTAGTAACATCACCATTGTGGTCAGCAATAGGAAGAGAAAAGTTTTCTGGTGGAGCCATGGTATTCTGATTATGAACTTCAACTTGGTGGCGCCAAATACTAAAAGAAGATTTAAAAGTACGCATACATTCAAGGCAAGTCAGCTTTTTATACTCACATTTACTTTCATGTTCATGCTTCAGTTCTGGGGAAAAGAATCTAAGGCTGCAATAAGGGCAAACTGTAGCATTTCTGCATAATCGTTCATGGTTTCCTTGTTCTAAAAGAGAGGAGAGCTTAGCATTGCAGAGGTGGCACTGGTAAGTCTCCTTTTCTACTGAACTTTCATGAGGAACATGTTCTTTTTGTTTGGCAACTTTATTTACTCCTAGTGGTTTTTCTCCTGGGTGCATTTTTATGTGTTGTTTAAACTGAGAAAGAAAACGGTATGCTTTCCCACAATAAGTACAAATGTATGCTCCTTTGGCTCTGGATCTTAAGTTCCTTTTGATGACTTGCTGTGCTTGTGAACTGGTTTGTCCCTGAAAACCTGATTTGCCACGCCTTAATTTAATAATCAGGGCTTTTTTAATTTCTCTCTCTCTGACTATGTCAATTAATTTTCTTTGGAATTTTTCATCCAAGACAGCATGTGAACTAGAAGCTGGTGATGGATTCTTCACAATCCCATGCTGTGTCTGACAATGTGTCCAGACTTTGAAGTTTGTATGAAATCGTTTGTGACAAATATCACAAGCATAAGGTTTTTCAGGGTTATGGTACATATTAACATGACGATGAAGACCTGCTGTGGATCTAAAAATTTTAAGGCAATGCTTGCATTTAAATTTTCTATTTGGTCTAGTTTCCTCCAACTCACTATATTCATCTTTACTAAAATCTGAATCTGGGAACTCAGCATCTAGGTGAGTAGGGCTTGAGTTTTCTTCAAAATTATCCTCTGATCCAAGAGAACCATGCTCATTTACCTTCAGTTTTTTAAATGGTAACCTTCGGTCAGCTTGAAATCTCCTTTTTGCTATGACTCTACTTTGGTGACCTTGATCATCTTCTATCTTAAAAGAGAAGTTTTTATTAACTGATGCTGCTGCATCTCCTATAGTGACCCTGATTATTTCAGAAGGATCTGAAAGTGGACTGCTAGGCTCAGTTTTTATTCGTACCTCTGTAACAGGTGAGGCTATCTCCCTTTCTGATGACTGAGAGGCACTGAAGGACCTAAGGCGATGTGGGTGTATGACCTGTGTCTGGTCAACTAGCACTGTTTTTTCAGTAGACTCTTTCAAAGATGACTTTTGAGATGCAGCACTAAATGTTTTCTCTGGTGCATCATTTGTTATTGAAGATGGTCCTTGTGAGGTTTTCAAACTAACCGAAGAATACATAGGAACCTGACTATCCACTGATAATGACCGTCGGAGAAGACTCTTAACAAGTGGGCCACTTCCGTCGATACTTTGGTTTCTAGGACCTGGTCCACTAGATGGGATCACTAATCCTAATTTTGAGTAGTACAGTAAATTTCTATCTTCCCCTTGACTGCTTCCTTTGCCAGTTTCTTGTAACAGATATGGAGCCTCTGATGAGCTACAAAGAGACAAAACAGGTGGCTGTGGTTTTTTCAAAGACATTTCTATAGCTTTCTCTCTTAAAGGCTGACTACATATTCCTTGTTTATCATCTGAAGTTTCTCTGTCCTGTAGGGGTTTTGAAGGTAACACTGTATTTCTTTTTACCAAACCACTTCTACACTGATCATCCAAAGATCCAGAAGGCTCAATAAGCTTGGGATAACACAAAGAACTTTCTTTTGGCCACCTTCCTTCATTTAATGACAAATTGTGAAGTGGTTCAATTGGTTTTGTGACATGTGGTCTACTCATATTATTCTTGACTGCAATGCTAGGTGAAGGCTTTGAAGTATGGCTTAGGTCATGTTGAATTTGACTAGCATTCTTTCCCTGTGCTTCAATTCTGCTTTGACAAACAATAACACTTCTTTTTTGAGAGCTACTTTCATCTCCTTCTTGAAATATTTTTTTCTTATTGGGACATGCTGGAAAAGAGATTTGTGGTGTCTTGGAAACAATGTTAGTAAGGAAAGAAATACCAAGACTGTAGCCAAGTTCTTGCACAGCAGCAAGGCTGCTTTTCTCTACAAATAAAGATGAAGAGTAAATATAATTTAATACATTATCAAAAGTATCTGGTTCACAGAAGTCAAGTTGAAATACTGTTTGGGACTCATTTTCTTTATTTGTGAATAAAGTCTGAAAATATTCACTGCTGGCAGCCAAGACGTTTTTATGAGCTCGAAATTTTTGGTCTCCCACTATTAGAAGAACATCACAGAGCTGTCCTTTGAGACGCTCCTCATTTAGAGCGCTGAGGAGAGAAATGGCATGTGCTGGATTTATATAATGCAGAAGTCCCTCCATTGTTTGGGTTTATCTGAAAAAAAAATTGTATGAACAATGTTAAATAACATTGAAAACACATACAAAATGTCATGTTTCTTCATGTGAATAAATTACATTCTAACTAATCACAAACACTGAAGAATTATTTAAAATAAAGGTATAACAAAGGTTTAACAAGTATTTTCAGACAGAGAGACTCCTTGAACTAGAGACTAAAAGGGCCACACCAATAAGGCTTTTATTGAATAAAATTCCTTTCAAAATATGCCCAATAATATTTCTTCATGAATTTATCATAGAGGAGAAAAACCTACCTAAATTAGAAAAAAAATCTGAACTATACCACTTAAGAAATGTGGTTTTGTCTTCTACAAAAGTTCTATTCCTAACCCTCATCCTGATACTGAGTTGACCCCAGGGTCTAAAAGGATATGGTAGTACCATGCAAACTGTACTATATGTGTTTTTTCAGATAGGTACAAAGAGGCTGGTCACTAGGTGACAAATTCTTTGGGTTATGAAACAAAGGTAAAATTGGCTCTAATCTTACACAAGGCCCTTTTTCTTCTGTAATGACAGTGGCAAAGTTGTGGAAGATAGAGGGAAGGGGGATGAAGAATCAAAGGTTTTAAAGGTCTACAAACTTAACCTGTTTATATTCTAAATGCCAAATCTTTTTTCAGTGACTTATTAATAGTGGAACTACATCATAGCGACATTGATTTTTTTTTCTCTATAAATGAAACTGGAAAATAAGAGAGTTGAAGCTAAATGAAGACTGGTTCATAAGCTCTCCTACAAAAGGCAGATAAAAGAGATATGCAGAGTTGGCTTTATCATGTATCCAAAGACTAGAAAATATAATTTTATGGGAAATTTAATCATCCTGTTTTGTAGTATTCTTAATGAAAATAAGCAAAAGGTTTACTATGAAGATAAATAGGTTTTGAGGCATCTGTTCTGCTGAAGAAAAGGAAATAGAGAAGTCCTATGAAGAACTCAAATAAGACCCTCCTGTGACTTCAATGCAAAGAAAATATAGGAGAGGAGGCAAAAAAAAAATTACAGTGTAAAATGTGATTCAGGAGAGTTGAAAGAGGTTGGACCTGGCAAGGACTCAGAAAAATTACAAAAATGGAAACTGAATATACCATTACAGACTGGAAATTATTGTTTAAACGCATTTGGTTCATTCTGGAATAAGCTGAGAATAGTCAAATTGTCAATGAATTAGATCAAAAGTTAAAGTGAACAAAAAACTAGGATAAAAATAAGATATTAAAATAGCTCTAATATGAGCTATTTAAATTACATGACACTGAAAATGGATAAAGGAATTGAAATCAATATAAAACTATCCCCATTTCCTATGGAAGTTGAATTGATATAAAGAAATCACCCCAAAGAGAGCAACAAAATCTATTTCTAGGTTCTAGGTACCTCAAGGGTAAGCACTTCATCTTATTAAACTAAGCAATATAGCATTATTTAGTATATGTATATATTATACTAAATAATATTATATTTTATGTGTATAATATATTATATTACAATTATATATTAAATATATTTCATATATAATATAGCAAGATTTAGTAATAAAGCAATAATAATTTAGCAGTAATAATTTTATTAGCAATAATAATAATTTACTAATAGAGCAACAGCAACACTGATTTAGTCATATAAATACATTTTCAAAAATCTTATGAAGAAGTAAAGCAGAAGCACAAGTACTGACTCCAAATAGCAAGATGTTATGGAAAGAAAACTATGCTTGCAGAATCTGATGCGAAATCCAGTTAAACTAGATCATGCCTAGAATGTGAAACAATGTAAGTGGAATTTCTGTAACAATTCTGCCCACCAATAACAACAGAACAACAGCTGAACTCTACACACTTAAAGAAGAACTAGAAATGGCATCAAAACAAAAAGAGGCCAAAAACAGACAGACCAGATGAAATTAGGAGTCTATGGTAGAGGTGACACAATTTGGAAGAAATTTCACAATCTATTTTCAAAATGTCTGAAAGAAAGTGATTAAGGGGGCAGCTAGGTGGTGCAGTGGATAGAGCACTGGCCCTGGATTCAGGAGGACCTGAGTTCAAATCCAGCCTCAGACACATAACACTTACTAGCTGTGTGACCCTGGGCAAGTCACTTAACCCCATTGCCTAGCCAAAAAAAAAAAGTGATTAAGAAAGTATCCATTAACTAGCAAGCCACATGCCTAATTTCTTATCTCTACAAAATCTCTGTGAGAACACTTGATCCTTTATATAACCTTATCAAGCCATCCTTGATGAAAATGTGAAAAGGCAACACACAAGCTTTTTCAAATTATATTTTATAGCTACATTCTATAGCAATCTAATCCAACAAGCATTTATCAAGCACCTATATGCAAGATACTTGTATTAGGTCGGATATCTTTTCCACCACATAACTTAAGAAAAGTCATAGAGAATACAGCATCCTACTGTACTTATTTTTTTTTTACCATAAATACAGCTTTAAAAATATTTCATCTTACAAAGTTTATGTGAAGTGTGTGAAAATTGTACAAGAGTCCTTGATAGATTCACTGGAGAATTTCCTTTGACAATCCTCTGATTATTAATATCATGGGAGGTATGAGATAGAAAAATGGTGAAGTCTCCAGATGTTCTCGTTTATGGATGATGATCAGCTGATTTTATCAAGTTCTATAACACTAGTCTCCTAAATGAGATCAATAACCACTCAAGAATTTAGCTTAACTATCCCCAAAGCAAAAACCAAAGGAATAAGTTATAGGAGCTAATGGCCCATTATAAAGGCAAGGTTAAGTCCTAGTGGTGCAGCTAGATGGCTCAGTCAATATAGCACTGGGCCTGAAGTCAAGAAGACCTGAGTTCAAATGTGGCCTCAGACAATTACAAGCTGAACAAATCACTTAACTTGTCTTAATCCACTGGAGAAGGGAAAGGCAAACCACTCTAGCATCTTTGCCCAAAAAATCCCATGGATGGTATTGGCATGCTATGGTCCAAGGGATCATGAAGAGCTGGACTCAACTGAACAAATAAGTCCTAGTAAAAGCTCATGAGAGATTCCATGACAGTCCTGGAGCACAGGCTTGAAAACTGTACCCAGGAATCCAAACTTACCAAGTCATTAGTATGGAGAATAAACACTTACTATTCAGCTTAAGTCTGTAACCTATTAAGGGTACAGTCAATGATAGATTACAATGTTGACTGGCCATAGCTAGCCAGCATCAGGACCTCTCCTTGTACCTAAAGACTGGATAAAAAGGATTACCTGTACCTAGCCAGGCTAGTAGTCAATTCCTCCACCTGAGCCATTAACGCTGAATTCCCTAGTGCTATACATAAGGAGACCAGACTCACCTTGAGGAATTCAGATGATCTCCCTGTAAGTTTTCACAGGCAACTGCCACTGAGGGACCACAGTCTTCCTATCTGTTCCTTATTACTTATAGGATAAAGGGTGCCAGACCCTATACTGGATTGCTTGATGCCCTGCCTTGAGATCTATATCATCACCAAATGGGATTTAAAACAAGGGAATCAATCACTCAATCAATAAATATTTATTAAGTACCTACTCTGTGCCAGGAACTGTACTAAGCCCTGGTGACACAAAAAGAGGCAGAAGAAGACAGTTCCCATCAAGAAACTCACAATCTAATGGGAGAGATAATATGTAAACACATATGTATGTATGTATGTATGTATGTGTATATATGTATGTATGTGTGTGTATAGGATAAATAGAAAATAGTTAACAGAGGAAATGCACTGGAATTAAGAAGGGTTGAAGAGGCTTCCAGTAAAAGGCGGGATTTTAGTTGCGACTTTAAGGAAGCCAGGAAAGTTAGTAAGTGGAATGGAGGAGTTAAGAGTATTCCAGGCATGGGGGACAGCCAGTGAAAATGACCAGAGCCAAGAGATGAAATGTCTTGTTTGTGAAACAGCCAGGAGGCCAGTGTCAGTGGATCAAAGAAATAGGTAGAGAAGATTGAAGTGGAAAGAGCTATCCAAAATAATTCTGGAGACTACTTTATTACCACTGCTTTGGGAAAGTAAAAATAAGCCAAAAATAAACTTTTACTTATTCCTGACCTTCCTGTTAAGTAGAAGGCATCTAACACCTCCAACAGTTACTGGTAAAATACCAAAGAATACCTATTGTCCAGACTATAATATGTAATTCAATGGACGCTCTACAGAGTTAGTTCATGTGCGCGCAAATGTGCATGTGCGCGTGTGTGTGTGTATGCATATCTTAGACACTGCAGATGCACAAGAAGCTGGCCTCAGACTGAGCAGGCAGAAAAGGGTGCTCTAGATCATATTTGGAAAACTAGACAGTACTTTCAATAACTCCTTATCTTGACCCTTTGACCAATTCAACTCTACACTGTTCTCTTCCTTTGAATTATTTGCCCCTTTAGCCTACTGAAGATCTTGTGCTGCTAAATCCCATCATCATCTGCCTTCCTTCCTGTTCACATGATGCTGAACAAAGCTGGAGAGAATCATGAAAATGTGCTGACTGGGTCCACTACAAATTTATGTTACATAATCTAAAATGGGCCATCACTGTGACAAGGCAAGGACCTTAATCAATTCATTGTCCTCACCACACCCTATTTTAAATTTTTTCATCCTTCCTCAAGTTTCACACAGCTCCTCCTCCCAACACTTTATCAGCTGATAAATGCACATTTCATGTACATTTCACTGAGAGTTCCCTATTCTCTCCAACTGCTCACTTCACATCACTCTGATGTCTTCCATTACTATTGATTATTTCACCCTATCTCATAAGTAGCCATTCTCCTCACCAAGTCTCCTCTATGCACAAGTGATTCCATTCCATCTTGTCTTCCCTAGTAGACTGTCCCCTCTGTCACCCCAATTCACATGTTGCTATTGTTGTTCAGTTGTCTTAGTCGTGTCTGACTCTCTGTGACCCCATTTGGGGTTTTCTTGGCAAAAATACTAGAATGTTTTGTCATTT